TTGCTTAATTTTAATTTTCTTAAAACCTTCCGCTGTATGTGCGAGACGTCGTAAGTAACACGGGTTGTAAGCCGGGGACAGTCTGTACTGAAAACCAACAGGTCAGATGCCAGGTGATATATTAGAGAAGATGGCAATGCCAATGCAAGCTATTTGATCCGAACATGTACTGAGGTGTAACTGCAGCGAGTCCCGGCGGCAGCAGGTACTTTGATGTGGTTCGTGAAGGGAGGAGACAACATGAGTGCAGATTAATCAGGACTTGAGATCTCGCTTTCCGAGGCAGCCGTGCATGCATTTCTACTGGCGATGCTCTTCACCTTGCTGCAACAAAGCAGTTTGGGGGAGATGAGGAAAGAGGAGGCCCACTGCCCGACATGGAATGGCGTGTCCACATGCGTGTACATGTTACCGATTTCACGGAAGTGCCAGCGTCCTGCGAGTCCACGCTGCCGCCGGGATAAATCTGTTCCCGATATCAGAGCTGCGTCTGAAGTAATTGAATGCGAAAGTTTACATGCGGCAGGGCTCATGATAAATGACTGCAAAAGGTGCATGTAAATGCAAAAGCAGGGAATCGAAAGTACCGATTAACACTTAATGCGAGGGCCTGTCTGATTATTTTAGTAACGGCGAGCTTGCATAGGTATAAAGCTGAACAGAGCGCCTCGCACACGCTACCTCGCACCGGAGGTGGAAACGCTGGCTTTTTTTTACCACACCCCGAACCACCCACCTGTGACACCTAGAACTCGAGTTTCTCGTTCCGGATGCAGCTGCACCTGAGGACGGTTTTGGCTCACAGGAGACGGGGAACGTGCACCTCTGTCCGTGTTCTGCATCGTCCCTCCTGTGTCCGCAGACAACATCCACACAGCGGCGGCCAGGAAGCCACCGGAGATTCCCCCTCGCCATGAGTCTCCAGCATACTGTCTTCCAATCCGATCCTCGGGGACTCATAGTCAGTCCGTGTTTTTGCTCCCTGCCAGTAGGGAGCTGGGAAGGAGCAAAAAACGTGAACTTCTGTAGCTCCTCAAGGACCGGATTGGGAAACACTGCTCCACAGATACCTCGCATGCCCTTTCAGCTCTCGCAAACATTTGCATGGGCGAGATCTCCGCAGAGTCGTGGTTGAGGGGTGTGTAGGCCCTGCCACCATTTCCCAGGGATGTTGTGTGTGTTTTTTTTTGCTTATATTCTCATCCGTTCTGCTCCCTGCGGGTGGTTTTCTCCTTTGTACGCCACCTGCTGCATTTCCTGCGCCTGTGGGTTTGTTTCTCTTGGTCGTATCTTCCTCCCTGCCTCTGTCTCAGTCCGCTGGCAGCCATAATCCGCTTCAAAGTGTATCCCTTGGCAGAAATCGGTGGGAGAGCTTTGATTGGCCAGATCACATGTGCGGGAGGATGGGTGCGTGGGAATCATGGGAATTTTCTGTGTGTGTCAAACCTCGCAAAGTTTCGATTAAACAGACCCCTACTCCGAAGTGGCATCCGGACATTGCCAAATCTCACATGTCTGCGGTTCTGGTTAGGACCAGTGACACTGTCGGGTCGGACCTCAGCTGCGTGCCAACACTCCCTTCCCATCTTTCCCACTGTAGGTGGTATCAAGTCACTTTCAGGGGTGGATTCTAGCAGATGAGCTCCAGACTTGCCCATCCATCTGTGTTGCAGTAACAGGGCGGAAATACCCAGGTGCCCCTGCACAAGGGTGGGTTTGCTGGTTCTGGGGCTCATGTGACTTTGCCCCCACCACCCACCCACCCAAGTGTAGCGAGTGCCTCCACTGCTCCCATGTGGGCAGCTTGACTAACTGGAGGAAACTTGCATATTAAGCGGTGAGCTAAGCTAAGCGGCTAAGCGGGGAAGAGAAAACGGATAAGTGCACTGCAGGGTGTAAGATAGGCACGAGGGCCCCGGGTGTGCAGTGAAGAGCAAGGAGGACGGCGGGACAACAGAACAAAGTGCACGTCAGGCCCATTTAAGGGCCCAGTTCCCTTATCTGTGTGTTCTCCATCATTCTCCTGAGATGTGATCTGCGACAGCGAGTAGGGAGAGATAAATGAGGGTTTAACAGCGCAGAGGGTCCCAGTCTTGCTCCCCGGCGCTCGGACTGAGCGACTGAGAGCCCCAGGGCAGCGTGAGGGTTGGCATTGATCACCTGCTTCACCAGGGGGGGCCTTTTAGCAGTGGCTGAGGAGCCGGCAGCACATCGGACTGCTGGGCCCCAGTGGCCGGGGCCCAGAAGAACGGCTTACTAAGCTGGATTTGAAAGTTCATCCATGGATGAGTGGGAAATGAGTAATGACACCCGGGCGACTGAAAAATTCCTTGTCACCTCCTGGTCCTCAGCTCCTCTGTCACTGTCAACATGGGTTTTTTTTTTTTTTTAAACGATTACTCACATTTTCATCGGGACTGAGGGAGATGGCGCCGAAGGGGGCTGGAAAGCTGGGGCGGGTGGGGGGGGGGGGGGGGTGTCTGACCGCGCCTGCATCCCGCTGTCTCTGCGCTGTCTGGGGCCCGGAAAGCAGGATCACAAAGGCTCCTCGTTGGCGCCAAGTCCAGCAGGATGCCAGGCACCGGGCGGGGAAGCCCCCCCCCCTCATTAAACAGCCATCGATCCTCACGTCCGCCTCCGGCATGCCGTCTGCTGTGGCGACCGCCCACCGACTCCGCTCGCCGTGACGAGGGGCTCTGAAGCAGCGGGAGACTCCCGGTGATGGAATTCTGGGCTCTACTCTTGATGGATGTCGTGGGGCCGATTCTAGGTGGGAGGCATGAAAGGGACCATAATTACATGGGACCAAACTTATCATTAGCCAATCATATGTTTTGAATCGGTGAGTGACAGGGGAGGGGGCACTCGGGGGACCAATCAGCTTTTAGCTGATGCCAGTGCCTCTGTGGCTCCACCCCTATATACAGCCCTTGGCCACAGCCTCCCAGTGTGTGTCAAGTTCACTGCCGAACAGCGACCTTTACGTGACCCAATGAAAATTCCGACACCCTGTCCGACAAGAAACCTGCACTGCAGTGTTTCCCTCCCGCTGCACTTTAAAGACGGCATAACGCTCACTGCTGACATCGCTAATTTTAAGCGCTCCGAATGTTATGAGATCCTCAGAGCAGCTGTGATGTGGAGGACATAAAAACAAACAGAACTTATTTAAATGAGTCTGGACCTTTTTTTGTACCTTCAGTACAGAAATCAGTCGCCCCGCGCAGCTTGGATGTGTTTTTCTCGTTCGTCTGTCGGGCGCCGCTTTGTAATTTGCAAACAGCTCGGAGGAAGACTGTCTTCACATCGCAATCACAATCATGATGCAGAAGTTAAACATCGTTATCAGAGGCACAGATTGAACACCGCCACTGTCAAAGCCTTGTGCGTTTCAGATGAAATAACGGCGGGAGGAAGATTGTGTACAGGCCGTGAATCTGAGTTCCCATCCCGACAGTGGATTACTGTCCTTTACTTCTCAGGTGCAAATGGGTGGGCGGGGCCTGCGGGTCTGTGCGCCGCACCTGCACTCTGACACTGCCGTCCATTCAACAAAGCAGAAGAGAGAAGTTTAATAACGGGATCAGGGGTTGAGAGACTGACATAGAGACCCCGGAGCGTTGGGCTTTGAACCTGTGCAGGATTGGACCTCTGGGTTTAGGGATCACTTACCTGTGCCGTTTCCGGAGTCGGGCCGTGTGTGGTCTCTGTGGGGGTTTCTGGAAGGCGCAGCTGGGCCCCTGCCCTCCCCCCTCTATCAATCTCCCTATGAGTAAGAGGAGGCTGACGCTGCACAGGGCGAATAGGAACGGTGCAACTGAGGTAGTAGCCTGTGACACGAGCGAGGCCTTCGGATGGGGATTGTCCTGGGGTGCGTGGCAGCTGCCGGCACCGGATAACGGCCCTCTCTGCAGATCTTCACACCCAGAAATTTTTTTAACATCTGTAATCCCTCCCCGCAGCAACAGAAAACAAATAGGCCGGTAACCATAACAACCATTCACAAACACGGTCCACGTTCAACCAAAAACCCTGATCGTCAGGATCCACTGGATGAAACAGCCTTTAAGGAAATTAGAGTCAGATCCGGAGTTGTCAAACCAGGAATCCATCATCCTTAATCGGGGGTAGTGAACTTAATTATACTGGTAATTAGGGTCAGGTCCATTATCTTAAGTCTGTTTGCTGGCTTTGGGTGGTGGTTTCTTTTCCTATAGTTTGCACCTTTACCTTTGTGGAAAACCTTGTATGTTATTTTACATTGCAGATCATTTTTGCATTTGTGTGTAATTTCGTGTTTGACCATGACAGGCCTTAAATTTTTTAAGTCTTGGAATGGCTGTGTACGGTGGCCCTGAAGGTCAAAACAATGTGCAATGTGGAGATGCTCGCAGATAATAAACAAACACAATAGATTCGTTTTCATTTGAACACTTTACTGCATATGTTATGCCTGTACTACACATTCAAGATAAGCATATTTACATTTCATTTTTATTTAAAAATGTAAAAATTCCTGAACACCCTCAAAGCACCAGTTTTATTTTAAGAGAACGTTAAATTTTATTCAGCTGCTCAAAATATTCAGCTGCTTAAATTAAGAAATAAAAGAAATCTGAGGAAATCCTAAAAGAGGATTGTTTAGTCGGGTCTGCCTGCATGAACGTGAGATCATCGCTCTCACCAGGGAATCGTTGGTATCGGCTATGCCTCGTACAAATTACACGCCTTTTCCTTTCCACACTCAATGTTGTGGTCACATAAAGAACTTTGTCTTCACCTACATGCAAACGCCCTTCAGAAAAGGCTTCTCTGTAACTCAGGCCAGCGAAACGGCTTCGTCCGCACGCTCTGACATGAGCTTCAGTGTTTCTCTGCTTTTTGGCAAAGAGACTGTATTTTTTTTTTAGCTGACTCCGTGTATCAAATTGCAGAGATTACAGAAAGCGGCTCAGTGTGGGGGGAGACACTTAATCCAGTCCCGGTGGTCGGTAATGGCCGGGGGGGGGTGTCCGAAATCAGGCGTGAGAACTGACAGGAAAGCTTGGCTACCGCAGATATAAAGCACAGGAGGGGAACAGCGTGTGGCGGGGGCTAGCGATGTGACTTCTGCCCCCCATTAACACAGACCTGCGGAGGAAACCAGACACATCTCAGTCTCAGTGTCCGCAATAGCACGTCTCAGAAGCTGACAAAAACAAGCATGTTTTTTAAAATCCTATCTATCTACATTTAAAAAATCAGCACTATTTTTAATGTTGGTAAAAAAGAATATATATTTGCACTACTGCTCTTTGGGTCACTGTTCAGCTTTAAACTGTATATCCATCCATCTTCTGTACCCGCTTGTCCTATTCAGGGTTAGAAGCAGTTTGGTAACTGCGATTAACCTCAGCATGTTTTTGGACTGTGTGGGGGGGGGGGACGGAGGAAACCCCATGACTACACGGGGAGAACATGCAAACTCCACACATGGCAGAGACTCAAACCCTGCTCCTAGAGGCGGGAGGCAACAGTGCTAACCACTGCATCCCCATTCCAGCCAACTGTGTCTCTATACTGCATAGATTTTTTTCTTTTATTTGTTTTTATAATATTTAGCATTTACAAGAAAGCATACAGTTTTGCTCTATATGTACAATAACAAATATTCTATTAAATTCTATTCTACAAATGTCCTTTGTCCACATCTGAAGCTTTCTTCTGGACAGAACCGCCCCTCCCATCATGCCCCTGGTCCGTGACCCGGCCGCCCAGTGGTCATGTGACGCGCTGACTCACCTTCGCACTCAAAGGCCTGCAGCACGGTGGTGTAGCTGTGCCCCAGCCATGACCTGTAGCCGCCCGGCACCCGCAGCAGGCGCCGCGTGCTGTCGCTGAACATGAGGTCCCTCCCGCCGTAGGCCGAGGAGCTGAACAGGGAGAAACCCTGTGGGGGGCTGGCGAATGCAGTCTGTTTGGGAAAGGGGGGGGGCGTAAATCACCAGGGAAAAAAAAGAGGACAGTGAAGACTTTCAAAATAGGGGAAAGGAACCATTATGTCACTGAGCTGTTAGCATCCCAATGTCACAGCACCTTTGAGTCTAAACCAGGCAGCTTTGGCTCGACTCTGACTCAGCACACCTGTGACATCCACAGAAATTTCAAGGAGCAGGTGCTTGAACCGGGGACCTGGCCAACTGGTTAATTTTGCTGATGGGGTTGGGATTTTGTGTGATCGTTGATAATTGAAAAGGGGCACTTATAACACCAACGGGGCACTTTCAGTCATTCGGGCAAAAGGGGCAGGTGCTGGCTCGGGCACCACCCGACACGTGCCTCCACAGCGCCACCTGCAGGCCACTGACCTGAACGCGCTCCAGAAACTTGTATACCCGGCACTTGTCCTCCAGTCGCACCACGACGGCCTTGCCGGGGACGGCAGCCAGGTGGCATCTCAGGTGGTCCGATGGGGCTGCCTCCGTGCCATCGGGGCACAGCAGTTTTAGGTCTTCCAGCTCCAGGTCCAAAGCCCACGACTCCTGATTCTTACCTGAGAAAGAGGAAGCGGGAAGACACTCCAGAGGAACGGCCCGGCGCTGTCAGACACGGCGCGAACTTCAAAGATGCCTCGTTTTCACGACCCACCGCAGAGGTCATAGACGCCAGAATTAAAAACTCATAAATCTTTCTGATTTATTGCTGTGAAGACATTGAAAGGTAGGCCTAACAGCTGTATAGTCCACGCTTTAGCGAAACCCCAGAAGTCCCACACACAGCGGGGCTGCGGCTCTTACAAGCTGCTGGAATAACCGCAGCTACCAAAATAATCCTCATTAATTCAGGACGTGACTCGGAGGACAGAACTCAAGAGGGCAAGGGGATAATGAAGGCGTTTCTGTGGGTGAGCGCACTCTCGCTAACCAGTGCATTACATAAGCGCAACGCAAGAGATCAAATTAATCTAAATGCAGGCTGCAAAAGACGCCGATCTACCAGACAAGGAAATACTGCCATCTGCTGGTATAGACGTACTGCAACGTTCTGCTTTTCGGGTTGACATACAATTCGCGCTAATTAAATTCGATATTTTACTTGGTTGTTACAATTGGTTTTTTACATGTAATTGGTTCCATAAATTATTTTTTACTTTACTTCAGAAGTGCTGAATTTCTGTTACTCATTCCTTCACCCATGACTGACACTTCAATATTTCTCATGTAATTGCTTACAACAGATCTGACACATCGAATTTGTAAATGTTGTCATTAGGGTGACTTCAAAACGCTCCGCGTTTTAGCCAGGGCACTGATGTCGTCATATGAAATATGAGCTAATTTCTGAGGCACAATAAGCGCTGCATGTTTACAGTGAAAGTAAAGGCGCAGGTCAGCAAACGCGTGGAGCGTGGAGCGCGACGCACGGCTCGCGGTAGAAATGCACTTACCAAGCATGTTGTCAAACACTGTCGTGTGCTTGACGAAAGCAACGTCGCCAAGGTTTTCTGCAACGCACCTGGGTAAAACAAACCATATTTTATGTCTTCGTGCCCATCAAAGCTATACTATGGGACAAATTGTTTTACATTGAACACTCAGTCTGACAGAATTGGCTCAGGTCTGTCGCTGGGGTGTACGGTATTAATTAACTAATTAACAATTAACAGTAAAGCATCGTTAGGGGAAAACAAGTTTGAATCTTGTTCAGCCTTTATAATGGACAATATGGGGGGAAGCAAGGATGACAACATGAACTTTAGAGAGAACCTCTACGAAGTCCCCCATTTATAAAGCCACGCTGTTTACTTACAGATAAATATTATGTTGACGGGAGTTGTGGGGTCTGGTTGATGTTAGACATGTTATTTTACAGTCAGACCCAGGTGTGTATGCTGTGGTGCTTTTCCAGCTGAAATGTTACTATGACGGTGCGCCGAGTCTCTTCACGGACTTGGGATCGAGAGCGCTACATCCATCTCTGCCTCAGTCCTTCCATTCCCACCCCCCTTACAGAAGCATCAGCACCCCCACGTTTACCTCAGGGCCCCTGCCTCCCCAAAATGCCTCTCCCGGGGGCTGTTGACACAGATGTGTCGGTCGTTGTCGTCACCGATGCAGGCTTCGCACAGGTTCTTGGGATTCTTCCCCCGGGGGTCATGCTCGGGGTCCTTCACACCCGGGACGCAACTGTAGCCGAAGAAATCCCCCACCGCTGGTGCGCGTGAGGGGGAGGAGGGCACGTTCACGTCTCGCGGGGCGGCGTGGGCCCCTGGCCCGCTCGCCTTTCCGCAGCTTGCGTCGGAGAAACCAACCTTGGGGGAAGTTGCACTGCTCGTCCACGCTTATCTGCGAAGTGTTGACCAGGAAGCCGATGGGCACGGTCCAGCCCACCGTGGTACGGATACCCGGGTGACAGGAGCTGCGCTCGTGCATCTCCAGCAGGGACAGGTCGCTGGAGGAGCGTCTGGCCAGCGCCACCACATAGTAGCGCACCCCATCTGTCAGGGCAGAGATGCAAGGGGTTGCCTTTGTCAACCTACAGGCACCTACACCAGGAGTTAAACCCTACAGCACCAGCGAACAAGCGCGTCCCACGGGTGTAGGAACTCACCCTCGCCGTTGTAGGACTCCCCGGCCGCCAGCTCCAGCCCATGGCACCAGCCGGCGGTGTAGACGTCGTCCGCGGACATGGTGGCAGCGTCTGCTGTCCCGTTCTGTGGAAGGGGACCGCAAACGGTCAAATCCCTTTGGCTCACCACTGCCACTCACAACAGCAAAACTCCCAGCCTCAGCTTAGCCAAATTTCCCTTTTCGGCTCCATATCCTACCAAATTCAAACCTGGAGATCAACGGGGATCATTCTTTCACTGGCATAGGCTACTAAATGCAGCAGTCAGATATAGCTAATATAGCCTGTTGTACTTCATCTGATTTGTTGTAGTTGTTTTTATTTTGTAAAAAAATATTTTGAGGAAAAACTGACTAAGTTTAAAGGTTAGGAGTAAATTCTATAATTCCTGGAACAGCATATTTAAAGTAGAGTTCAGAAGTAACGTGAAGTTGGATTTTTACCTTAATTTTCCGCATGCAGTCCACATTGTCCAAGCCGCGCGCGCACTGCAGCCTGCCGCGGATGTTCTTCGCGGCCACGTTGCTCGCCAGATCCTGACACTTCTGCTCTTCTGCGTCTGATACTGCACACCAGGTGACTGAAAAATAAAAGTTATTTCCAGCATTAGTACAATATTAAACAATTGCTATAAAAGCACGATTAAAAATGAGTGATAACTGTAATTAAGGAAATCAAGGGCCCGCCTGTAAAATGAATGAGCTCTACATGTTAATTGAATCAGTCGTTGAAGGAAAAAATAAAATTATTTTCATGCATTTATGACTGATGAATAATTTATTCACCTTTTATTAAAGACCACTTCCAAATGTTAAAAATCAAATAGACTTGAATATATTTGTTATACACTATAAAATAAACTGCTTCCTGTTATATTTAGAAGCATACTTTTTATACTTATAAAAGCGAACTGATTTATAGCATGCAATGCCGAGAAGTATCTACCAACAGTAATTACAGTCATTTATTTTCCGATCTGTTCGGTGTACTTTCTGATCATTGCGGTCCATAAGCCCTGGAGCTCTACATTATGATGACAAAGCGCTCTGGGGGAAAAAAAGTGCCAGAGCTTCAATTTTCCCCTGATCGTAAATCGAAAACTTACTTATGCTCCTTTGGTTCGACAGGCGGACCAGCGCGAGAACGAGGAGCGCCAGCACCGGGTCCCTCGCCGGATGGGCCATACTGACAGCGGAGAACCTCACAGGCACGACTTGGTCATTCAAGTATAAAAAAGGAGGTGCTCACATCGCGCGCCCTATATAACCGTGGGACCCAGAGGGAATCGGGGAGGGGTGGTCCAGCGAAAAGAAAACCCTTCTTTATTCCCCGGCTTTTAATCAGGTATTTTAACTACATTTTTTTCATCTGCTAGTGATGGCCGTCTTGCGTTTCCCTTTCAGTCACATTAAGATTTAATGGCATGAAGGTTTTGCACACTCCAGCTAGCCTGGCAAAGCGCAAGTCATATCATTTCTTAGCTCTATAATTAAGCCGGAGACAATGTCTTTTTGTAAGCGAGTAATGCACCCAGAAGATGAAATCTCCTACATGGCTGGCAGAGGCCACTGCTTTGATTAATCACAGAAACAGCTAAGGCAACAGCAGGTGCTTTTGTCCCCGAACGCTCTTGCGGATACTTAAAGGAAAACATATAGGGTATCCGATATGCCACCGGGGGGGAAAGGGGGAAAAAAGTGAGTTCTCCACAGGAAGTGTAGTCTTGCGATGGTTTAGGTACATAATGTATTGTAAGCATTTGGGTCGTCGATCTTTGCCTTTATAATAGATCCATAAGTAGGAGATCGGTTCTTGCTACCGGACACGTTCACAGGTCTTTGACCTGGGCGAATAAGACACGGTACCTGTCTATAAAGAAAAAAAATAGACGCAATATTTTTGTGCATACCTTTATCATAATGCTTGTTACCGATCACTTTCTAAAAAGCTTCGTTTTTTGTCCAAAGACATTTAAATACCCTACTGATCAGTCTACAACCTAATGGTGTAATGCTTAATGTTTTAGTTGTCCTGTTTTAGTAACCGTGCACTTGCTAAGCAATTGGCACTAAAATGTAATTATAGGCACCGGTTCCTCCTCCAAATGTTGGGTGCAAGGTGGGCCTGAGTGTGTGGATGGTGATGAAAACTGCATGAAGAACTTTGCCAAGTGTTTGTCTGCATTGGCTTTTGTACTCTTGTTATCGATTGCCAGCTTCTTTATTGTCTGCCACGGTCTGCAAGCAAGAATTTCATTGCACTATGTGCACAGCACAATAACAGAAACTTGAACAATGAATCTCTTCTCAGACAAACAACATCTATAGGGACAAAACTACATTGCAATGGAAGGAGAAACACATAATCAGCTCATTTAAAAAAGAAATGTATTTACTCTGAAAAAAGAATAATATAAGATGAGATAAGATTTATACTTATTGATTCCAGAGAGAAAGTATTTTGCTCACTGCAGCAAGGTACATAAAGTGCACAGATAGAAACATATAGTTCATCACAAAGTGCAAAGACAGTAGGCATAGTGCAAACAGGACACGGTGCACAAACAGAATATTGTGCAAACAGAATGCTTACTTAAAGAGGAAAGGTAGATAGCAGGTATAAAAATCTAATGAGAAAAATTCAGAAAGCTTCTCAGTTTGCATACAAGCAGAAATATGCATGTGAAATTTTAAACAATAATATATTTATGAAATAGGTCAGACCTGTATCAGAAATTGAATAAAATAAAGCCTGAAACGCATAGATCTCTGGGGCATAGGGATGTCTGGTAAAATCACAACTGACTGCTATAGTACACATAAGTATTTATGACTAGTAAAGTTATTAATATAATAATGAATATAAAATGTACATTTAATCTATGGGGGTTAAACTACAGTGAAAAAAATCAAGTAGAGACAAATCACTGGCCCTTAAATCACATGATGAATCCAAGCAACTCTTGCCGCGATCTGAGTGCAGTTAGCGGTTTGCAGTGAGCAGTTTGCAGTGAGCAGTTTGCAGTGAGCAGTGAGCAGTTTGCAGTGAGCTCAGCGCTGTTGCTGATGCCATCTGCAGGAAAGAAGGTATTCTGGAGAAAGAGGAGTGCTACACGGGGCATGCTGGGGGGGCAGGGTTGATGATGCCCGCAGCTGCTAGGGCATCACTAGAACACGGAGAAGAGGGAGCCGAGAGCCATGCCAGTGGCAGCGCCGGTGAGCATTCCCAGTGCCCAGTCCTCGCGGTCGTCATAGCGACGCTCCTGGACCATGATACGACGTACCCCCGGAGACATACCGGTATCTAGAGAGCGACAAGGTGACAGGTTGGTGTAAATGCCGCACACAAATACCCACACACACCAGGCGACAGTCAGATGGGTACACATAGAAAGCGGACAATACCCTACAAACAGCTGAAAACTACAGCAACTTCACATGATGAGGAACTGAAGGACGTGCTGAACACAAAGGAACTGAAAAAAAATAAAGGAACAAGGTACAGAAAGGAATCTGCTCTTTACCTTGGTGGTGCCTCACTGGCGCCCCCTTGGGTGGTGGTGGGCCATAGTCGCCGTAAAGATGATAATCCCAGAGCTAGAAACAACAACAACAAAAAAGAAGAAGAGCAGAGTGGAGAGGCGCTAGAGTGACTCCACAGAAAGTCACGCTTCAAGGCCTTAAGGCAGATGCCGAGTTGCTATGGCGATGAACTGAGACGGCCCCCTCTGACCTGCATGCCCAGGGGGTATTCGGAGTACGGGGGGGGTGGGGAGGCGGAGCCATCTTCAGCGAACCCAGCCTGAGGACACCTCAAGAACTGTGGCACAAGCGAGACATTCAAGGGGAAAACTAATGGCACTCGTGGGGACGCAGCCCATGCGACACGCCACGACTCCCTGCTGTGCGGGCGCTACCTTACCGTGTTTACCCTGGCATCCTCCAGGACCTTCGCCCAGGCCCTGAAACGCAGAGGCACACGCTTAGCGGTCCCAGGTAATTACAAGACATGGCCCTCGATACCGTAAACATTACACAGTACATAGTAACATACCCATTTCTCACATTTACGGGTCAATTTAAATAATTTGAAAATAACCTGGATTGCTATACTGTGAGTTCCCTCCCCCCCATTTCTGACTTTCTGAAGGGTACGTGCTGGACTGGCACGGGGTGGGGGGGGGGTGGGTTCTTGGTAAATTTTGCCAGCCACCCCTTCCGTAAATTTTGCAAGGTCTGCGGTGATCAAAAAGGGGCAATTGGTAATATTTTCTTGAGTGAGGGGGGCCTGACTGGTGGGGAGTTTGCGTGATCACCGGTGACTGAAAAGGGGCACTCAGTAGCTCTGAAGGAGGCGCTTTCAATCGTTTATGCATAAGGGGGAGGGACTAAGAAAGCCAACCCCCCCCCCCTCCCTAACAGTACCAAGTGCACTAGATTATTCAACACAATATTTGGAAAAGTTTTTTAGATGAATTTGAATAAGCCTGGTATGGTGCTAGAAATTCTAAGCTATTTAGAATAAGAAAGCAATTTGTGCCATAATCACTGCTGTTGTGAGTCCCTTACTTTGCATCATCGGGACTCTCTGCGCAGATATTTATGGCGCCATCCCCAGAGACAATCTGGAGCAACGACTCCTGCGTCTTACCATCTGGAGGCTTAAAGCCTGTTGGGGGAAGCAGTTTAATTGGTCAACAGTGAGATGTCATGCCCACCTGACGGCGCCCAGTAAGACCTGTAGCTGCTTGCAACACAAGCTTTGAAAACCGCCGTGTATGATACTGCACTGTTTTTTAAAACTTGACTTAATGACGGCGAATCAAACAATAATATAAAGATGCCCAGAAAACGTAATACCTCGACACTGACTCCCGAGGCAGATGCCTATGCACTCCAGTGCCATGTGTATCTTGTCCTCCACATCTTGTCGACGCAAGTCTTCGAAGAAGACTAAACTACCATCTGACCAAAGATCGAACCAGTTCCGTTTCCACCGCCGCAAAATTGTGCCTGTATAAACCAACATTTTGCTGTTACAAATTATTCTGTACTGTAAACTTACAAAATTCGTTTTTTAAATCTAAATTTACTAATTAATTTACCTAATATAATAATAATAATGCTTTTTCCTACAATTCCGAAGTCTACCTGATGCTTAAAAACTCACTTTGCCTTTGAAGCCAGCCGCTTCGCACCAGCGCCATAATAAAACTGCGGAGAAGAGGGGAAAAAAGAAGCAATTCATTCATATTAGAATTAGAATTATGCTTTTCATGATTAAAGATCTTGCAAATATAATGATACACGCCCCCCGAAAGAATATGCAATCAAGCCATAGAAACTATTTAAATAAGTAAATAAAACGCATCTAGAAAATATTATCTAATTATAAAAGAGAGGTACCCACAACATTGCGAGGAATTTTACCCGATATTTAATATAGTTCACTTTAGTTTGGAGTTTCCCAACAGAAGTTTGAAGTGCACTTACCTTACAGTAGGCTATTCTCCCTAATTTGGTTAAGATGAATTAGCGAGCGCAGCATCGTTCTTCTGATTTTGTGTCTGTCTCAGCTGATCGAGCCTTGCGGCTGCAGGGAAATGTAGTGCTTTCATACGCACTGACCGAGTATTCTACTTTATATTCATATTTAATATACTGGTCAGATTTTAGCGAAAATAAAGGGGACGAGAAACAACATATACTACTTACACAATAGCAATACTATAAATCTAGAACTGCCATTAATTATTACGAGAGACCACAGCGTTTACATTTGGAGGACCACGGGCGCCCCAACATGCTTTGCGGCGAACGGTGTCGGTTGCAGTGACGTCACACGGCCGCTTGTCTTGGCATGAGCGGACCCCAGAGCCTGTGGGAGGTGGTCGTGCTGTGTGTGGCGATTTTGTACGGGAGGAAAAAATAATAATAATACTGTACACGCACACTTCTGGGTGGAATTTGGTTCGTCGTAAAAAAATGTACGCCTATCACTAGCTGAACAGGTAAGGGGTCCGTGTTGTCGTCTGGCAGCGACTCTGGTGTGTTGTCTCTGAATAAGGACGCAGTGCAGAGAGGCTAGCTGGTTAGCCTCGGCTAACGGCGAGCTCGTTCTCTTCGCTCGCACCAAAACCCCTCTATAAGACGGGTTTTATGGCACTAGCGCAAAGTTGCGACCTTTGTCAGCTCTGTTACAGGTAATATTCCGTGTCAAGTTAGTCGGGTGCCTTGCTCTAGCCTAACTATTACTGACAGCGTCGGCGACGGGATTATTAGCATTACCTGGCGTAGCTGCCCGGAGATGTTATCTGAAGGAAAGCGATGCCGGCGCCTCAACCGAGTCTTTCTTCATTAGATTGTTATCGCTGGTAGAGGCTGATTAACTGTTACCGATCCCGTTACTAGGTATATTATAACGGTTAGTTCATCGGGTGGCTCGACTAGCGTCTGGCGCCGCCGTAGCCGGTCGCCGGGCTGTTTACTGTCTGTCTGCTGCGGCTCCGGCGCCTGGCGCTTTCAGAGACTGTCCGGCTGCGCGTAGGGATTTCGCTGTTATATTCCTGCTGGCATCGGCCGCCGGTTCGTCTGCCGCGGTGGGCGTCTGGCCCGATCGGCGACGGAGGGTGGGTGTAACAAAAAGGGCCCCCCTGCTGGAGCGAGGGTTAGACGGTAGCTGTCGCCCGGAGGGACGGTGGGTGTGAGTGAAAGCCTGTCGGGGTGCCTTTTAAATGATGTCCCCAGGCTGGGTAAAATCCTTATAGTTTAGTTGCTTCCTTCCCTCGCACATAAGGACTATTTAGAAGGAAAATGTATGCTTTATTTTGTATGTGCCATTTTCCATGCCACGCTCCCTGTCTGCTGTCTTTCTCATTTTGATACTGCTGGGGGGATCGTTGCAATCGCTGACATGTTTAACGAGGTTCTTTTGTAACGGCGGCCTTATATTCTGAGTGCTGTCGTTGCCGAATCGACTCAGCAGTTAATCTAGACTCGTTTATCTTGTCAGTGGACAAGATCCGGATTGTAACACGATTATACAAGCACCAGTAACCTAAACAGTCAAGTGAAATGTCATGGCAGGTATTCCAAATGTTTATTAGTTTAAGAAGTCTACAAAGTTACATTGTGTCGTGGCAATGCTTTGTATTGCTTTTGTACATTCTGAGGGTTCATCTCAAAGATTTATCTAGCATCTTCTCTAGCTATCAGTATATGGGGTTAAAATATTCCAGTCCACAAGTGAATTTTATTTCTATTGAAATGTCTTGATTTAATTCACTTAATCTCTTTTATTTGCTGGTGTGATTTGATACTTCACAGTTAAGTGAACTCTGTTCTGCTGTTGATGTTGCAGGCAAATTTTTCTCAGTTTGTAAGTGGATAAAGTGATGATCAGAACATTTAATTAAATGTTTCCTTTTCTTTCTTAACCTCTTTCAGTCCTCCAGGGACAACGCTCTACTGGCTATGCGTGTATCCAAAGACGAAGCAACTGTTCTGCCCAGAGGTCATACAAGTAGGGCTTGTTAATTATCAAGGGGTGGGAATGGGTTTCGGCCTGCGGTTCTCAGACTTTTAATAAGACTTTCAGAGCGTCACTTTCACACTGCATAATCATTAGAGAGCTGATCTTTGCCTTTGGTTTGTAGAAAGGGTGACATTATGTGTGTGTGTGTGTGTGTGTGTGTGTGTCCTTGTCTGGTGTTGTGCGTATTTGAATCACAGTAATTAATGAATTTTCTGACATGACACGCTGGCCAAGATATTGAAATTGAAGCAAATGCTTTGTGACACTGCCACTGCACTATGAATTACTGTTGAGTTTCATATAGCTTTGAAATTGTAGGCATTAGGGATGCTAGTGGTGTGATGTTGAAAGGTAATCTAGCCTCTCGTGTCTTGTGTTTATAGTCTATATGAATAGAATTGAAATTACTTGCACCTGTCAAGTTTGATTCAGATCTACTGAGTTTCTTTATTGTTGAAGACTGAAGAGAATAGACAGCACTTTAGTGACCAAGTGTATTTGTGCGTACATGGAATTTGACATATTGAACGCTCACTTACACACACTACATGTAAACACACTATACAACTTGGTTATACTGCGGTGGTTATAAGCTAAGCAATTGATGAATGGATGGATGTAATGGTTATTTATGTATAACAGCATTATAGTTTGGTATTGTTGAAGGATTATATATTATTTGTTTCTAAGAATTACTTGTAGAAATTAGGTTCATACTCAAATCTGAGTATAGCGCAACCAACGGGCAGAGTAATAAATAAATGTAACAATTTAATTCTTTAATTCTTGGCTCTGTATATATAAAAATAGTAAATATACAGCATTATTATATTGTTTTCTAAAGATGTAAACTGGATCTTAGATGCCATTCTGTTTCAAATTTAACACTAAGCTATGAGTGACAATGGGCTTGAAAGTGAGTTGGAATCAGTGATTTACAAACTTTTTGCATTAAATTGTTTGCACCCGCACATTTACATAAACACTAGAAGCATATTAAAAAGATTTGAAACATTTTTGGCAGTGGGGATTGAGCCATATTTGTTATAGATTACATTGATTTGCACAATAACCACATGCATTTATAGTTTTTCTAGGAGGGCAAGATTAGACCAGTTTGGTTGTAACTTTCAAAAGTGGAATATGTCAGTGAAATATTCTCTTGATCTCAGTGTTCCTGTCTGCAGTCCTTTCATTTTCCATGCTGTTCTGTAATGGGCCTGGTTCTCTGGTTGCCATGACAAAGGCCACACATTGAAACACACGCACACACACACAGAAGAGTCTGTGTCCCTTGAAATTAAGGTAGTGTAGAAATAGATATTGTGTAGTAATATGTGCTCTTCCCCAGTCCAAGAGCTGTTTGAATTGTAGTGATCAGTTTTACATTTTATTCTTTACTTAGGAAGTGATTTTTGCAGTGTACTTCAATGCAGTTAATCACTTCTGTATTATGCAGTTAAATTTTTGTACAATAAAAGCGTGATATGTGAGACATCTTAACTGGGTAGTCACTCGTTATATTTAACTGTTCAAAAATTTGAAAGAAAATTGATTCTGAAGGTTTTGTGTTAGTCAGCTTGTTTAATATAAGGTTAAAACCCCTGGGATCACACCCTGTAAAGGGCAATATTTTATCCTTACTAATATGACTTGTTATTGGAGACAAGCGAATCATTTGAGACTGATATTAATTTTGGAGTTCTCTGCAGTTGGCGTGCGACCTGATGGTCGATAGCCTGCCCGTCTTCCAGGGCACACGGTTCGATGCTCTTGGTGTCCCGCTGTGGGTGTGTGCTTGCATGTTTGCGAGCGCAGGGCTAGCCGCCCAGTTTGAACCCTGTCCCCCCTCCTCTCTCACCAGTGCAGTGAACCTGATGGCTCAGCGTCGCGTCCCGTTGTTCTTCCTGCTGCTCCTGAAGATCCTGGGGGCGTTAGCTGAAGGCAGGATATCTTTTAAATTGTAACCCCCCCCCCCCCCATCCCCTACAGTGTTGCCAAAGCCCCTCTGGTAGTATGTTTATGTGTTTTGAAAATGTAACGTTTAGATTTCCTGGTGGTTATGCCCCCCCCCCCCCCCCCCCCCCC